GTGCGTGCGTGCGTGCGTGTGTGCGTGTGTGTTTGCGTGTGCGGGTGCGTGCGTACGTGCGTGTGTGTGAGTTTGTATGGGAACAACTATTTACTGATTCTAGCGTGGGAGGCAACCTTCACCAAACGCTAGAATAACCATTTTCAATGTATCCTGTTAGATGCGTGTGGTACAATTTCTACTGTCTTGTAACTTGTACAACGTGTAGTAGACAATCTTGACATATATAGATGCGAGCAGCAGTTAAGCTGACAGATATATACGTACATAAAATCAAGAGTGTGTAATATAGAGACACACTCCTAGCTATACACTCCTGATGAAATACCTCCTGCAAGCACAGGAGACACCTGAATCGTAGCATAAAGGTGCAGCACCTTCTCTCTAAGCTGAAATGAATTGGCTGCGTAATCAAATATTGAGCTTTACTTCTACTTGTCTCTATAATTCAACGGTCCTTAACCTGTGGTCCATGGACCACTTTGGGGTGCATCCACAGGTGCACGCAAAATTTTGTGTTTATGTGCTTATGTGCATCTTTCTGGGGAGGTGGTCCGTAGCTTTCACTAGATTCTCAAAGGGGTCCATGACTCAAAAAGGGTTAATAACCACTGATCTATATCTTTAACATCTTGATTATTGTCTCGTGTGTGTTTCTCGCCGCTGCGTTTAGGACTACATGTTGGATATGACGGTGTGTGAGGTGACGGAGTACATGAGGAACCTGCTGCTCGCCCTCAGACACGTGCACGCTGCCGGCATCATACACAGAGACCTGAAACCAAGCAACTTCCTCTACAGCCGAAACACGAAAGAGTAAGCTTGTCACACTAGTAGGTTGCCTGCTCCTTGCTCGCGGCTGCAGGAGTGTATGTGTGCCTGCACGCAAACCTGTGTGTGGGAGTGTATGTGTGCGTGCGTGCTGGTGCGTACATCTGTGTGTATTTATGTGTGCATGCGTGCTGGTGCGTACACCTTTGTGTATGAGTGTATGTGTGCGTGCGTGCTGGTGCTTACATCTGTGTGTATGTGTGCGTGCGTGCTGGTGCGTACACCTTTGTGTATGTGTGTATGTGTGCGTGCGTGCCTGTGCGCACACCTTTGTGTATGAGTGCGTGCGTGCCTGTGCGCACACCTTTGTATATGAGTGTATGTGTGCGTGCGCGCCTGTGCGCACACCTTTGTGTATGAGTGTATGTGTGCGTGCGCGCCTGTGCGCACACCTTTGTGTATGAGTGTATGTGTGCGTGCGTGCCTGTGCGCACACCTTTGTGTATGAGCGTATGTGTGCGTGCGTGCGTGCCTGTGCGCACACCTTTGTGTATGTGTGTATGTATGCGTGCGTGCCTGTGCGCACACATTTGTGTATGTGTGTATGTGTGCATGCACGGACGCATACATGCTCATGTGTTTAACTGTGCATCTATTGTATCTGTGTATTTGTGTATTGACAGTAAGTTTTTCTCTCTCATGTAAACTCCTGTCAACATGCCTTTCTTGTATTCTCTCTTGTATTATTATGCTCTGTTCGTCACTCCCTGTGTCCTCTTTCCACACACGTCTCACTCACACTCACGTGTAACATATAACTGCATTATTATTTTTATGATTTGCAGCATTATTTCACTACATTATGAAGCATATTATTGCATAATTCTTTCTTTGGTTACGTGCACTATTACATTACATTTACAGTAGATATATATTATGTTTTTATATATTATACGTGATTATATATGTTTCTGCTGTTGTTTTCATCAGGTATGCGTTGGTGGATTTTGGCTTGGCACAGAAGCCAGATGTCACTGATGACTCATCATCTATGAAGCCAGTAACCCGTTCCAGAAGCTTCTCTCTGGGAAGCAAGGTCAGTCAAGGTCACGCTCTTCCTCTAATCTCTTCTGACATCATGCAGTGATGGGTGTTGAAGCTTAATAAACACCAACACTGGGGTTTCTCCCATTGACATGAAGCGCCACCTATTGGTTGAGAAGGTTCTTGATAATTTGATGGAGGAACGGGTGCAACAGCTCTGCTTGTTGTAACGGGGCATGCTCTAATTGGTGGAAATTATATTGCATTACATCAAGGATTAAAGTGTCTAGCTGTTATCTCAGTGGTGTGATCCAGTACATGCCACCTCTATTAACTGCTAACAGACAACCTTTGATAACCTTGTATACATAATATGTCATATATATATATATATAGAGAGAGAGAGAGAGAGAGAGAGAGAGATCAACCTGGTGTGTAAAGGTGGCATAGTTGCCGAGCGGTGTAGCCTCACTGTGACACAGCTAAAGCTGTAGTCAAACAACATTCACAGGTTTTACAGGCCGTGAAGAAACAACTGCCAAAAGCGAGGTCGGGCTCAACAGGGGGCGCTGCTGCGAGCAGCGACAGCAAAAGAACGCCCGATGAGTCTTTGGTGAACACATCGAGTCAGAGCGTGGTGAAGAAGAGAAGGACCAGTGAGGAGAGCTCTGGTGTTCACAGTCTCACGTCAGGCCATGAGAACAAAGGTAGCTTACTGCTGTTTGAAACCAAGGTCTATTACTCCTGTTTTGACGTGGGACGTGGGATGTTACATTATGGATGACATGATGGATGACATTACAGGGAAATTAAAGGCAAAGGTATATTATTCCTGTTTTGATATGTGAAACCAAAGGCAAAGGTATATTATTCCTGTTTTGATATGTGAAACCAAAAGAAAAGGTATATATTACTCCTGTTTTGATATGAGAAACCAAAAGAAAAGGTATATTACTCCTGTTTTGATATGTGAAACCTAATATATAATAATACCTTTGGTCTAAGTATATAATATCTAAGGCAAATAGCCAATGATACCTAAGGTATTGTTAGCTATTGATATTTCCGATATGGAATGCTTCAATGCGCACATGTTGCAGCTGCAATGGACGCATTACTGGCAGTTGGTAAGACAAAGGCGACGCATGCTGCTGGGGGAAGGGTTGCAGCAGTCGATACCGCAGCGTTCTTCTTCGCGAAAAGCTACCAGTCTCCGCGGCGCACCCTGCTGGCGAGAAGAGCCATCATGAGCATGGGAGGGCGACATGGTTCAGCGTCAACAAGTACTTGTAAGGTAAGATGATCATTGTACACTGCTGCTGCTGCTGCTGCTGCGACTACCACTACCACTACCACTACCACTACCACTACCACTACCACTACCACTACCACTACCACTACCACTACCACTATCACTACTACTACTACACTCAGATCATTCTATTAGATGTCTAATGAAGAGCATGTATATCTTTCAGACCCAGCAGACTGTCAGAGACGTGAAGAAGAAGTATGCGATTAAGGACTGCAGTGTTCGCATCCACATGACCTGCGCATGTCATGGCAAGCCCAAGGTCTGCAGAGTGTGTCTCGCAAGGTATGCTTCACACACGCACACACACGCACGCACGCACGCACGCATGCACACACGCACACTCACGCACACACGCATGCACGCACGAAAACAGGCATGCACACACACAGGCAGGCACGCACACAGGCAGGCACGCACATACACAGGCATGCACGCACATACACAGGCATGCACGCACATACACAGGCATGCACGCACATACACAGGCAGGCACAGCAGGGTAACACCTTTCCTCCCAGCTAACCTCTCGTGTTGAAGGTAGTACACAGAGTAGAACTTGACAGTGATGCGAGTTTTTGTTGCTAGCAAATAACCGAACTAGTGCCGATTTAAGCATGTGCTCAGTTGCGACTTATGAATGTTCACTAGTGATTTTTAAATTGTTGAGTCGAGATATTCAAATGTCTGGTCATATATTACATTCATCAATACGAGGATTGCCAGTCAACGGACGTTATGGTTATTTATTTATTTATGTTGTGCCTTTTTACATAAAATGATCAAAAGCGCAGCACATTGATATCGCAAACGACTGAACAATAAAATGAAATGATAGTAAATATGTGCATGTGAGATATATTGCTATAACTGCGAGATACAATGATATTAAAACAAAGTTGACTATGTTGTGCTTGCAGGAAGAGTCAGTTTGCACCGAGGGCCGGCACACCAGGGTTCCGACCTCCCGAGGTGCTACTGAAGCACCCTCTACAAACAACAGGTACGTACGCACCTCAAGCAAACATCGGTATGCTTATACTTGCAGAAAATCATTGTGAACCCCACCAACAAACACGATTTGACACAGTAATTTGTAGGATACATTAATTGGGTTATCACATGCTAACGGTTATAAGGAACCAATAGAACGCTGCCATGACATTCATTAATAATATTATAATTGCATTAATATTATTAATCTAATTATAAT